TTCCAGGGCTTCGGACGGGCACTCGACCCACGCGCCCTCCTCCTCGGGGACATGGTAGCACGCGCCCTCCGCGTCAACAGCGAAGGTGGGCCATCCGTGCTTCAGAGCCACATAGCCCACCAATCGGCCGTCAGCCGTGCTGCTTCCTGGCGCGAAGGTCGTCGCGGTACTCCTGCCACTTGAACTCTCGCGCGACGTACCTTGACTTAGCGATCCTGCATCCGAGGTTCGCGTCCCACTTGTGGACAGGGTCCCAGCGGGCGCTGATCCTCTTGCCGGCGGCCTCGCTCCGTCTGACGAGCTTGCCCACCCCGTGCTGCTTCAGGCCGTCGAGGGCCCGTGTGGTGGAAGCCTCAATCAACTGCGAGTCCGACGCATCGTGGGGATCAGGGACATCCATGTCCCTGAGGATCGGCCAGAAGTCAGGACGAACGTCATCACAGTGCTCTGCCGCTACTCCGCTAACTCGGGACCTCGCAAGAGCGCCTCGGCTGTCATCCTCCGCGGGTCGCCTCGGCGATCGACCTATCGGGGGCGTCAACGGGGGTGCACTCGCTGGCGCTGCGGCTCTCGGCGCCATGGGGGTGTCGTTCCCAGCGCCACCTCCAGCCGACGTCTGCGTCGCTGGCCCCGCCTGCCTGCCCCCAGCTGGCGCCTCGGCGCCGCCCGCCGCTTCGGCCGAGGGCGCCGCCATGGGCGCGCCCGTCTGGGATGCTGGCCAGCCGCCCTGGGCGGCCCCAGCGGTCTGGGCAGCAGCGCCCGGGCCCGGTCGAGCCTCAGCTGCCTCTTGCGCCGCCCGGTCGGCGTCCGCAGCGGCAAGGGGCATTACGATAGGCTCGATCCCACGCGGGACAGTGCCCTGCCCTCGGCGCTGCCACGGCACGCGCGCGATCGCCGCCACGGCGGCGCGGTTGAACCTCCGTTCCTCGGGCAGCCTCTTGGCGGTCCTCGTCGTGACTAGCTCGCCCGTCTCGAGGGCGCATATGTGCTCGTCGGCGTCGTAGCTCTTCCCTTGCCACACCGCCCTCGCGAAGCCCATGTCACCCTCGCGGTGCACCCTGCCTCTCGCCCTGCGATTCTTGCCCCTGGGTAGGCGCGCCAGGACGGACCCCCCGAGGGTGGCCATCTCCCCGGCATAGGCGTGGCCGCAGAGGTCCTCACGTGCTGCGCGACCGCTCGCCTTGATCCTCAGGTTGGTGCATACCCAGCCCGCGCGGCGTTGCAACCACTTGCACATGGCCGTGCCAGGTCGGACCCTGGCCCCCAGTCGCGCCCCCGCTCGCTCGGAACTGCGCCTGGATGATGTCATTGGCATTCTCGGAGGGGTTCGACTGGGAGCTGAACGCAGGTGCAGGTCTCACGACCACACGGTTGGGCAGCTCCGCCTCCACCGTGTTGGCCAGGTCCATCATGGCGTCCTCGCGGTCTGGCCATAGGATGACCTTCTGATGGTAAAGGCTCTTGATGAACGCCACCGTGGCTGCCACCGTGTATAGGGTCAGCGCGTCGGTCGGGTTTCGGAACACAGCGCATGGCGCCTGTGTCAGCATCCGCGACCACCAGCACCACTTCCCCGCCCTGTCACTGGCCGTCCTCGGCGCGGGTGCCCGCCGCCGCGGCGTCGGCCGCCTCGCCCTTGAAGAATACCAGGTCCAGCCCGATCGCCAGAGGCGTTCCACCTCCGCGTCTAGCAACTCGCGGGGCCTGTCACGCCCACGTCCCATCTGACAGTGATCACACCAGCGCCGCGGTGGGCAGCGCTGGTTCTCCTCGTGGCGCCGTCTCTCCTCTGGCGTTGGCTCGCAGACGTCGGGGGACGCGGTCGGTTCCACCACCTGCCCCGACTCTGCCTGACGCCTCATCTCCTCGCGCCTCAGCTCGCGGAAATCATCCGTCGCCGCCCTCACCTTGCGTCTGCCCTCGCACTCGACGAGCCGTGCCCAGCACTGAGCCTTGGTCCCGTAGCACGGGGCGTAGATCTCCTTGAGGCGCTTCTGCACGGCGTCGATCCTCGGGCTTGGTCCAAGCCCCTCGAGGTACGACCGCCCCGACGGCTGCGTCGCCGCAAGTGCCTCCCGGCCCTGCGCGGGCGCCGCCGCCTCCCGCGCCTGCGGCGCCGCCGCCGCCGCCCGCGCCCGAGGTGCCGCGGCTCCTGCCGCTGACGGCGCCGGGTCGCGCGACCCTCGAGCTTCTGGGTGCGGCGGAGGGCCCTCTCCCCGCAAGGTCCCCCAGGGAGCTCCCGCGGCGCCAGCCGCGGCGACCCGGGCGGGGCAGGCTGCGAGCTTGGCCTCGCCCATCGCGTCATGGGTCTGCGCAGCGAAGTAGAACGCGTTGCCGACTTGCTTCACGTCCGCCCGCTCGCCCGCCTTGAATTTCACGGCGTGCGGGTCGCTCTCCTCGAGGACAGACCTGAAGTGCTTGCGCGCCGGCTCCCCGAGGCAGAGCACCGCGTCCTGAGGGGCGAGGTCGTTGCTCACTCTGAGGCCCCCCAGGCATGGCTGGCGACCCTTCTCGCCACCGACGACCATCGGGACCCCGCGGAGCCCCTCAGTACCTAGCCTCAGGCCGCTCACCGCGGTGAGCTTGGGCGCAGCGGGGCCCTCCTGGACCGTTGGGCGCTGCGCTCCGAACGCCCGGCCGCAGAGGTGCCCGTCGCCGCCACTGTCTGCGAGGATGAGCCCTCTGCGCTTCTCCCTGCGGCAGCCTCCGACCGAGCTCCTGACTCCAAAGACCCACCCAACCGACCTCGTCGCCGTCGGAGCCTGCAGCCACCGCGCCCACGGTCCCTTGGCCCTCCGCGCGCGCAGGAGCCCGCTAGACTGCGGCCGCCTTCGGGGACGCCGCCGACGGCGCCCGTGGCTTGCCAGCCGCCTTGTGCCAGCAGACCTTCCCCTTGTGCCCCTGCTTCTGACACCAGTTGCAGGCCCCTTCGAGCTTGGCGGGGTAGCTGCCCTTGAGCTTGTCATTCTTGACTCCCTTCTTGCTGCCCCTTCCGCCCTTGTCGCCCTTGCAGCTCATATTGTCACCCTTGCCGCCTCCCGACTTGTCGCCCATGCGCTTGGGCCAAGGCTGCCGCGGCAAGGCATGGCCCGAGATCGCACCGATCTCCATCGGCGCCACGCCTGGATCCACCACGCCGCTAGCTGCGAAGACCTATCCAGACGCCATCCACTCTCTCAGGTGGGTCCTCAGCGCCATGTGCGAGACCTTGGCGGCCGTCGGAGCATTGCGTAGCACGGTCTTGCACGGCTCGGGGCTATGGACGAGCAGCATGGCGATGCGAAACTCATCGCCGACGTCCCTCCCCGCCTGCATGACGCACCTCGCCACGTCGTCGCCCCAGTCAGCGAGCTGGTCAGCGAACGGCTTCTGGTCGTCCCACCTGGGATTGAACAGGCCGCTGAGCATGGCTGCGAACCTGTTGCCCACGCCAGGATCGTACTCGTTCTCGATCGCCCGCCAGGCGACGAAACCCTCGCGCCTGCCTGCGAACGTGACCATCGCCAGCGCCTTGCGCTGGGTCTTGGTAATCAGCATGGCATGCAGCAGCTTGCTTGTCGCTGCCGCGCGCTCGCCCATGCTGACATTGTCCACCGCAAGCGCTGGCTGGGCCTCCACGTCTTGATGGACCAGCTGGGCCAGTCCCCATCTCCACCACTGAACTCTGGCAGCTGGACGTCGCCTCCGCAATCCACCAGCTGCTCTCTGGGCGCCACTGCCATGGGCAGCGCACGTCCACAGTCTTCCCGTGGATCTGATCTGCGCAGTTCACCGCGGAACCACGCTCCCTGCTACCATGGCGGAAAGTACGCGGATGCGTGGGGAAAGCGTATATTGGGGCTGCGGGTATGCGGGGCCTGCGGGCATGCTACGACTTGATGGCGTCCGAATCACTAAAGATCCGGAGCAGTTTTGCAGTAAGGCCGCGGGGAGGACGATGGCGCTGGGCACAACACGAAGTCTCGGCACCGACCCGATGAGCAACTCCAGTGGCCGCCGCGTCTAGGAGAAGTCTTCTTGACCGAGCCTGCCGCCAGGCAACACTGCAACCCAGGCCGCTCTGGAACGTTGCATGAGCACCTGGAAGCGTGGCAGCGAGCACGAAACCAACGCCGACGGACCACAGAGCAGAGCACCGTGCACCGAGAGACGACCACCTGCGTCGGCAGAGGTGCCCTCCGACCCGGAGCGCGCGCGCCACCATGGCCGGCAGTACTGCGCCGGGGCGTGCTTCACCCAACGGGAGTGCAGACTGACGCGCCTGACGCACCAAAACGAGGATACGAGTGATTTGGGGCACAATTTGAACCCAAACAGGCACGTGGTAGCCCATGTGTGGCGCACTGGTAGCCAAAGCAGTCCGTTAAAACCAGTTTCGAAAAGTGGCCCTCTCGCTCTAGCACCGCGCGCATTGTCCGAAAGGATTGCAACCATTGCGCTGCTGGAGCGCGGTGTTTTTTTAATGCTGGGCCGTCGCTTGAGCCTCCTGGGCGCAGCCCAACCGACCCCTTCTGTGACGAGCCCTGTCCGTGACGATCCGATCACCGTCGAGACTCCCGTCCGGCCGCCTGCCAGCATCTTATCAAGAGGCAAGGGGGTTCTTACAGAAGGGGTCGGTGTATGAGGGGTCGGTCAGCCCGCCCCCGAGGCTTTCTCAGGATTTGTGGCCTGGAGCTTAAAACGTGCGCAGCGGTCACTCGGACAGAAAGCCAGCTCCTTGCCAAAGCGGGGGATCCAACCTGATAGTTCATGAAATCGTTGTGACCCATCGCTTGAACATGTGCAACGGCTGTGCTGATCGAGGACGGTTCCTTTTTTCTACATGGGGACGTCGCTCGATAGGCAACCACAATGCAATCAGCCAGCTAGATTCCGAACCCCTCAGGGTACCTTCTGGGAAGTCTTCAGAACGACCAAAGCGATCAAGCCAGATTAAGGGGATAGGCCCGACGAAGCCTGGGAGTGAAGGAGAAGGGAGTCGGCCAAGCATCGGCATCCGCGTCCTTCTCCTGCGCGGGCACGCCGAGAGACCCGTTCGGGAATGCGGACGAGGCGGCTGTCGCGTTGGAGTACGCGCTCAACGCCGTCTGGACGGCAGAGATGTGCTTCTCTTTCCTCGCTGCGGAGAACCGGGTCAGAGGAGGGGGAGATGGGACGCATCAGGACAAGCTGGCACTCTAGGCGGCGGACCTTTAGTAAACCACCCTTTAGTGAAAACGGGCTGGGACCGAAACCGACGGACCTGGACCCGCAAAACTGACGGCCGCGACGCCCTCTCGCGAACCGAAAACGGCCAATTCGCTAATCGACGTGTGAGGGTAGGAGGTCTGTCCACCCCCGATGATGATGATGATGATGATGATGATGATGATGATGATGATGATGATGATGATGATGATGATGATGATGATGATGATGACGGTGATGATACTGACGACGACGACGGTGACGTCTTTGATGATGATGATGATGATGATGATGATGATGATGATGATGATGATGATGATGATGATGATGATGATGATGATGATGATGATGATGATGATGATGATGATGATAGTGATGATGATGATGATGATGATGATGATGATGATGATGATGATGATGATGATGATGATGGATGATGTGGAGGACGAGGAGTTGGAACAGGGCGGCGACGAAGAGTAGTTCAAGGGAGACTAAAGCGGAGAGGGGTGGGAGGCGCAGGAAGAGGGAGCAGGAGAAAGAGAAGACGCAGAAAGAAGCGCAGTCGCAGAGCCTGTAAACAGAGAACGGATTGCGCCCTGCCTGCTCGCAGAAAGCCCAAAAATGGGCCCCGGATCCCCCAGAGGCAGCTCAGAGGCTCCAGAGCTGTCACAGAACATGGTGGTGTCCTCGAGTGGCCACCGGGCCGCGAAGAGCAGGAGCCATTCACCAAAAAGCACGGCAATTAAGCGAATATCCTCGGCAGGTGTTCGGTGCAGGGTAGTTGTTGGACAATGCACGACCCCAACGGTCCACTCTAGGAAAAATCCACACCCTGATTATGTCATCTTACATTCTGGACGAACTCCACAATCGACGATCCGCCACCATGCTGCACGACGTTCCCCAAATAGTGCTTTCACTTACGGGTGCTTACTTCTCTTCGGAAGAAATGGCCTTGAATGTTTGCTTGGCGGTTCCCTGCTCGCCGTCGCGGCCCCGTCGCCACCTCGTCGCCGCCCTTCGTCTGGCCCTGAATGTCTGTCTGGCGGTTCAGTGTTCTCCTCCTCCTCCTCCTGACTTATTCCCCTCCTCCTCCTCCTCCTCCTCCTCCTCCTCCTCCTCCTCCTCCTCCTCCTCCTCCTCCTCATCCTCGTCCTCCTCCTACTCCCTCCTCCTCCTCCTCCTCCT